CTATTCACACCCTCAAGGCTTTGTTTGAGATACTTACTGAGGGGGGTTAATATTTGGGGTGGAGAAGGAGGCAGAACTAGAGCTAGCCCCACAAGGTGAACAAAGGTTATCATCTCCAAGTTGGGGGGATGGGGGGAGATGCTGTGGCATCTCATGTGGCATCCTGAGAAGCGCCAGAGTCTCTGATGGGGTGGTGCATGGATGCCACAGAATTGACCACTGAGAGTTAACACCTCGGGATCCTCGCAAAACAGCCCAGTGCTCATGCTTAGCATGATGGCAGAGAGTCTCCGGTTTGAAAATGGATACATTTTCATTTTTACATCTCAGTGAAGAGCTATAGAGTTGAGAACAGAGGACATTCTGCCATTTTTCAGGCTCCATGAAAGACCCCTCAATCTTTATACATTGCCTAGAAAGAAGCTAAGAGTTCCCCCCTCAATTCCAGCTTACCAGAGTAGTGGCTTGCTTCTTTCAACTCAGTGTTAGGGAGAAAATTCCTGTCTTCTACCTATACAACTCTCATTCAAACCTCAGGAACTATTTTGGGTTTAAAAAAAAAATCATTATTCCCATTTGCAGGTAAAGAAACTAATACCCAGAGAGGTTAAGTAACTTGTCTAAGGTCCTGATATCATTTTAAGTTGTCTGGAGTTCAGAAACCATGGCTCAATAATTGCACTAGTTTGCCTTACTTTAAAAAAAAAAAAAGATATTTCTTACTGAAGGGACTACTTTGTGCCAGCAAAATGCTAAATGCCATATCTATGTACCTAGAGTACATACCCATAAATGGATATATAAATATCTACATTGATTAATTAATGTATATAATCTCCAATCCCTACAAGAAGATCTTCCTATTATATTAGTCATCTCATCTTATCATAAGGCAAAAGGTGGAGAATCATGCTGGTAGTGTCCAGCTCCAGTTCTGCTGCTGACTTTGCACTCTCGTTTCTTCATTTATGAACGTGAGAATAGCAAAACTTGCCTTTCCATGAATATTATGGGCACTGAGTGAGGTATTGGAAATAGTAGATCTTGTTAACTGTAAAAAGATGTGCACACGTGGACCTCGCCTTCTATCGAGATTGCAGCCTGTGTTGCTCATCTTGACTGAGAGCCTCTCTCAGCAGTTACCAGGATACTGAGACATACATTACAATGCAGAGGGGACCAAGACACCGGGAGTTGGACACCGGCCTTGGAAACTGATTGTTTACATTTGTTTGCAGTCTCCCTGAAGCAGAGGTTAGGTCATAGTTCTTTGGGCCTGGCAAAGTCAGCTGGAAACTGCTCGTGGTCCGGCACCCCTTCTGATCGCTTCTTTCCAGTCCTTCCCTGCATTCAAGGAAGACAGACAGCAAGATGCGCTCTCATCACCACACCGAGGAATCTCCTCTTGGCGGCCTTTCTAAACAGCAGAGGTGCTGAAGATCCGATGTATGCAGTCCATCCACAGGGCCCAGAAGGTGATCTTCCAGTAGAAATCAAGCCGTCACGACGAAGGTCTAAAGAGACTTGCTACGCAGGTGTCTGCACTCAGGATGACATCAAGGCACACGTCTATGCTCTGAGGTTGCTGCTTAGTGTTGGCTCCAGTGAGTCGCTCAGGACAAGCGGTCAATCCTGGGTAGTGAGGGAGGGGTCTAAAGTGTCTGTGAAAGAATTACTACAGTCAGCCTCATTGGGGTGAGAGCTCTGAGGCACCCCAAAAAGGCAGCCGTACTATGTCAAAGGCAAAGGGGGGTTCCAGGAGAAAAGCAGTAGAACACCACTGGGAAAGAAGGCATCTGGGAGACAACAATAACCACCCTGAGGATACAGACCCATGATTCGCTCTGCTCATGCTGCACTCCAAGGGACCTGACAATGCCCGGGTCGTACTGGATATGCTATCAATATTGGTCGGTCACTGAGTGAATGAGTATGTTGGCAGTGAGTGGGGTTGGCCCCACTTACCGTATGTCTTTTTATAAATTAACAATTTCTACTTGTGGAGGAATAAATTCTGCATGAACCCACAGTTTCTTTCTCATCAAGAATTATAATGCGAGGTATGAAAGGAGAAACAGTCCTAGGCGCAGAATCAAAAGTTCTGGGCCTGAATCTTGACTCTTCCTCTGACCAGCTGGGGGGCCATGGAGAAGTCACAGAAAGATTTTAAACTTCAATTTCCTTATCTGAGAGTTGAATGTAATGATTCCTACCTCATGAGGCCCCCACCGCCCCCCCCCCCTTTAAATAATTCGGTGACAAAATGTGTGTCATCTGCCAGTACGGTCTCTGGGAAGTGGCACTTAAGAGTAAGTGCTCTGGTATGAGCATGTACTTGGCCGCTTATCAGCTGAGTGTCCTTGGGCTGGCTATTTCACTTTTCTGTCTCCTCTTCTTCATCTCTAAGAAGAGGACAGTGATATCGTTCCATGGGGTTGAAGGGATAATTAATGCAAAGTAGTTAACATGCTGCCTAGACTATGACAAGCATACTATTATTATTAATATTATTATTATTACTACCTCTATTGGAAAAAGAAGCAATTTTCATTTGCAGATCAGCTTTTGATACGATAAAGATGCTTATTGTTTCTAAGGATTTTTCTTGAAAAAAATATATACTTTCAGGGGCGCCTGGGTGGCTCAGTTGGTTAAGCGTCCTACTTTGGCTCAGGTCATGATCTCATGGTTCCTGAGTTCGAGCCCTGCTCTGTGCTGACTGCTCTATGCTGATGGCTCAGAGCCTGGAGCCTGCCTCAGATTCTGTGTGTCCCTTGCTCTCTGCCCCTCCCGTACTTGTGCTCTCTCTCCTTCTCTCTCTCTCTCTCTCTCTCTCTCTCTCTCTCTCTCTCTCTCAAAAATAAACATTAATATATATACACTTTCAGGGGCACCCGGGTAGCTCAGTCAGTTAAGCAACGACTTTTGATTTCAGCTCAGGTCATGATCCCAGTGTTGTGGGATCAAGCCCTGCCTGGGGCTCCATGCTGAGCGCGGAGCCTTCTTGGGATTCTCTCCTTCCCGCTCTCTCTCTGTCCCTGTACCTGCTCATTCTCCCTCCCTCCCTCCCTCTCTCTCTCTCAAAAATAAAATTAAAATAAAAATATATCAAATATAATAAAAAATAAAAAAAATTTTTAAATATGTACTTTAAGAACATGGCCACCTCATACTTCTGAGTTTCAATGCAGCGTGTCATTTTTTGCATTTTTATTCTTTTGGAATAGAACCATGAAAACATGCAAGGACTTTACAAAGTGGACAACATCCTCTGCCTTTCCCCAGATCTTCAGGATATAATCCAAGTTTGTGATGCAATTAAGAAAGAAGTATAAACCAGGGGACACATATCACACTGAGACAGCACGTGGCTGTTTTCCAGCGTGATCTCACAGAGAATCCCTAGGTCATACCTGGTTTCTGCGCCCTAAGTCTCATCTCTCAAATGGGGATCCCTGATCCACAGTGTTAGGGAGTGGCTCAGAATATACCTTTGTATGGAAAAGCTCTTTAACCGGCAGAAGACTGATGTAAGTGCTATGATGTGGTCCTCGGGGCAAACCCCTCCTGCTCCCTCCTTCTGGGTCCCTGCTGGTTGAAACACCCCCTAAGGACCCTCCTCTTTCCTACTCACTGACTCTTCCACAGCCCTCAGAAAACATGATTTCTCTTTCTACCGTGGTCTCTGCCCAGGGGGAAATGGTAGCATTTTCATGACAGCTTCCTGATAGCTAACATCTTCCTTCTTTCTAATGCAAAGGGGCTGCTCACAGAAATTCTGAAGGTCAGAATCCTCAGTCACACAGTCCTGCTGCTTTGCAATCTTAATGACTTACAAATGGCATTCCCATAGGGAAGACTGTTCTTGCAAGAGCTGGCTGGAACCCCAGAGCCACCTCCCTTCCCTACCTTTTTTTCATTTTCCTCTCGCTTCCTGAGAGGCCCTGGGTGTTTGAATCAACCTTCAGGTTAAGGGGTTCGGGAGAGGAGGACGACCCGGAGGACCCAGAACTAGAGCAGGTTCCTGTCTGGGCCACACAGAGCTCAAGACCCAGAGGCTTCGGCAAGCCAGGCTCCGTACCCTACTGTTTTACCGGATGCTATGCTTTAGCTAACTTGATTCTCACAACATTGTAAGGTAGGAATAATCTGCCAAGTTTTCCAGATTAGAGAACGGAGAGACAGAGAGGTTGAGCAACTTATCTGAAATCACACAGCTGGTAAGTGGCAGAGCTGGAATTCAAATGCGAATCTGCCAGACACTCGACCTCAGGTTTTTTGCCCCCATGACAAACTACCTCCTGACGGTAAGACAAGGTAAGTCTGTGGGCTGAATCCCAGGAGTATTTTGCCTTGGTAGCAAAGACTTTTTCCAAATGCAAGTAGAGTATTAATGAATGATTTCCCAAGGAGATCTGCATACAGGGAGGGCTGGAATACCAGTGAGGGCACTCATGAATATCAGCAATTGCATCAGCTGGGCAGTGTTCCTCCTGAACCTTCTGGTCTCAAAGACCCAGAGGTTATTTCTGATTACATCAGCAGCTGCACAGATCCAGTTTAGGAATCTTGAAACCACATATGTGACTCACATGTCGTTGTTATAACAGTAGGAAACACATTAACTCAGCTTTAAAGAGCGTTCAATGAAAATCTGGGCTTCCAGAAACCAGTTTCTCGGTTTGCGAAGCACGCAATCTGAGCCTGTCTCCTGATGACAGTGTCATAGTGTTAGCCTGTACATTATGTGACCTGACAGCTTAACAAGACTATATTTGCTTTTGGAGACTCTGTGTTCCAGAACATTCCACTGAACTTATAGCAGGTGACTAATGAGTATTTCACCACCATGACATTTTGAGTTGCAAGCCATAGGGATGGTCATTCGATTGAATAATATATTAAAAATGTTTCTAAAAACTTGTCTTACAAAATCATTCTGTGGAAACCATAAACAAAGGCTCTTTCAGTCTCGTTCAAGACCAACGATACTGCTGGTCTGTCACAGACATTTCTGAATGAAGGAAGGTGTCACTTCTGTTTTCCAAGTAAATGCTGTTGATTCTTTTCATAGACTTTGTGTGCTTAAAATCAGAGTTTTTCCATAGTCGGATCACCAGTGTGGGGTCTCAGAAATACTTGACATTCTGAAGTGTTCGCGTGGGAGTTAAAGACCCGAAGCATATTCTAGGGAACAGGAACTGAGGCAGGACAGAAATGATTAGATACAGCCCAACACGAGTTCACCGTCAAGTTCTGCTCCTGTCCCGGCTGTGTGATCTTAGAAGGGTCACTGGACTTCTTTGTACCTCAGTTTCCTTGAATCTAAAATGAGGAAACTAATTTTACTTCACGGGGAGCCCTGTGAGGATGGATGGAAAGTGCCTGGTATATAGGAAGTGCTCAGGTATGTGGTTTTATTCATTTCTTTTCTCTGTGGGAGGAGGGGACAACCGGATAAATAGTGAAACTACGTCTCAAGTCACGACATAGGGGCTGCTACAGGAGGGGAAGGAGGGAGGAACCAGCAGCACACCCGTACTGAATGACTGCCACCATGCGCCAGGGATTAGAGTGGGTGTCAGACGAAACAGGGTAAGTTCTGTTAAAAGACATGAGAGTCTAACTTGTGCAGACTGGTTTGACTTAAGAGCTTTGCTCTTTGGGGTTTTCTGTCTCCTGCTTTTTTAGGTGATGTAGAGAGAAGGGCAAAGGAACATATGCTTTTATTTACTTGAGAAGGGGAAAAAAAGGGAGAGAGAGAAAACAGAAACTAATGTTGGGCCATTAAAACTCTGGTAAAAACTGAAATCGTGGTGCGTTGAGATTTCCTTGTCATGTTAATAGGTTCTTGGGTATAAATGATGGAGCACCAGGGGTCTAGTAGTTATTATTGGAAAATTAAATAAAAATATATCCACAAAGATAAAGACCTGATGTGATAGTTCTCTAGATTTTTGGTTTGTTTACTGTAAAGAAAGTAAAAGCAGCTTGATTTGAGTTTGTATTTGGCTTTGTAAGGAGTTTTATGTGGGTGATTTTGCATATACGCATGCACTGCCTTCCAAGAAACGTCAGCATCTGCACAACTGGGAGACAAGCTTTGGTTTGCTCATAAAAGTCTTTATCGTCTTTTGGGAAGTGATTCAACTGGACTTGATGGGCAGCTGGATAGAAATTCTAGTGAAAAAGGGGACAAGACCAAGCTCATATGCACACAGAGGCTCAGCAAACATGGCTTTGCAACAGCCTCTATAAAGCGGCTTCAAAAGATTTATTTGAGCAGTGTCCATCAAAATGTGAATGCATGCCAAAGAACCCGTGTGGACCTAGACTGCATTATATCTACTCGGTGGGGTGTATGGTGAGGCAGAACTTTTTCAGTCCCACCCTACCCTGAGAACTCCATTAAAAGTTTGTTGAGCATTTTCTCACCGTAGAGATACCACATTAGACATACATAAAGCCTAGGGCCAATCAAACTCACTGGTGGTGACATGAATGAATGAGTGGACATGTCGATGCTCTGTCCAGATCCCCTCAGATTCCTTTTACGTTTTTACGTCCTTTCTCTGGCTTCTGGTGCCTTTGTTTCTAACAGATGGCACCCTTGGGATGCTGGAGCCATTTTGCCCAACAGCACAGAGAACTGGATATACTCAGGATTTTACAATGTGCTGGGTGGCCCTCTGCCAATGATGAATTGTAGTGAAGAATTTGAACACTTAGCTCCATTGCCTTGAATCTGAATGAACTCAGGTGTCATTTCTACTTCAGAGCCTCCTGTGAGATCAGGCTGACATTGGACTTTCCCTGGAATCGTACCCTTGTTTGCCTTCTTCCCCTTCACTCACTCTTTTTCTTTAGGTTCTTCTGGGGACATTTCCCTGATAAATCACTTACATTTGAATTGTGCATCTGCATCTAGGCAAACTGACTTAAGGCAATTTATTAATCCAAATGCTTCATGTTGAAATGATGTGTCTGTATGTGTCTGAGTGTGCAATTTTAACTCTTTTAAGTTCTTCTCCTTGCATAAAAGGGGTCTGGCTGGTAGGGGGATGTTATGGCTCCCCCATGAAGGAAAAAGTTTATTCTTGCATCCATATGTTGGGAGTGAGACAGAGATCCCTAGAATGGGATTACGGACTGTGGGTGCTGAGAATAATCTCTACTAGGAGCTATGAAGAAGGTGGTACTTTGACTCACAGTGAATCAGGAGATTGCAAGAGAGAGAGAGAGAGATTTTGAAAGAGAGAGAGTGAGAGCGTGTGTGAGCACGCCAGCAGTGTGGAGTAGCACAGGTGATGTAAAGTGTCCTGAGACCCCGACAGCAGCTACTGTTTCAAGCAGTGATGGATGGAAGAATTCACATGTGTCTACCTTCACAAATGTGTGGAGCATACAGTTTTCCTTGGGAATTCTGAGGAAATAACGGGGACCATGAGATCCTGATATTTTCCGAGAGATAGCTACCAGCTCAAAAGGCATTCAGGCCATATCATCACAGGTTTCTAATAATACAAATGGTCCAAAGGAATATCATGCATGTCTATAGACTCAGCTGCCTCTGGGAGTCAGGGGCTCACTATCAGGGGAAACCCCCAAACAGAGATGGAAAGAGCAGCCGATAGGCACATTATAGCCGGGATTCCAGTGTCAACGGGGTGACAGGGGGAATCAATGAGGTGGTCCAGTCCCCTCCCTCACTTTTTTAACTCCCCGACTGATGACTGAATCTTTGAAAGAAGAATGCCTATTTGGGCCCAGATCTTACTCAAGAAAATGAAACTTCACATACATGATTCATTTTCTTTTAATATGAATGCTCACTCTGGGCTCTGAGCTGAGGTATCCGGTGCCTCCTCATAGTGTAGTGACTGGGACCCATTCTTTCTTTTGGAAATTGCCAAAAAAGCTAAGAACTCAGGGAGAGGTGGAAGGTAGGGAAGACATCGCTCCTCACTTGGCTAGTACTGTCAAAATTGAAGAAAGGATAACTCTTTCTTTAATTTTTTACAAATGTTTGTTTTGGGGGAGGGGGGAGGGGCAAAGAGAGAAGGGGATATAGAAACCCAAGCAGGCTCCAGGCTCTGAGCTGGAGCCCAACATGGGGCTCGAACCCACAAACCGTAAGATCATGACCTAAGCCGAAGTCGGAGGCTTAACCGACTGAGCCACCCAGGCACCCCAAGAAAAGGATACTCTTGACGGAGGTGATAAATGGTCCAGGAGACAGCAAGCAAATAGTTTCATGGAAAATGCCCAGCTCTAAACTGCGGTAACTTTTCACAAAACAGGGTGGTTACAGGAAGGAGAAAAAGACGGGTCCATGCCCTTGACCTTCCCTCGTAGACAATGTGGTCTGGAGAAGAGAGGGTTATACTGTGTGCAGAGGACTCACTGCTTTCCCTCTCCATTCACCCAAAATCCCACTGGGATATTCTAATCTCCTTGGAACATGCTGCATTATCTGTACTTTCAGCACAGCTCACGTTTCAAATGGCAGGCTGCGGAGCGATCTGATTGTTTTATAGGCACAGCCAAGAGGGGAGCTCCGATTCCTGTCTCTTGGCCAGGTGCCCTCTTTGAGGGAGAAGACCTGTGGTGTATAGAGACCAGCCAAGTGCTTAAAGATTTCAGGAACTTCAAAGGCAGGGGAGGGGCCAGAAACAATAAAATGGAAAATGATAAACATTCAGCTTCAAGACGAGCCGAGTTAAAATCCCTGAGAAATTACTCTGAGCAGAGTGAGGGGCTGATTCTCGGAGGCCCGTGGCAACATTCCACAGCATTACACAACGTTCCAAGAAGCAATTATTAGCTTTGTTTTAGTAGTGATTAGCACAGTTAATGACTCGTAGAGGCGGAAAGACAATGCAAGTGGGAAGGTGAGCCCAGAAAGGGGTTTCTGCTCCGGTCCCACACTTTCCAAATATGGGGAGCTCATCTCACCTTTCAGGGGTCTATGATACCTTCACCCATTTTGAAATTTCAGTTCTGAAACTATTGTATAAGGAGAACTCATATAAATATAACATATATTTTAGGTCAAAAGCCATTGCTGTAGAATAGCTGGATGAGATATGCACTATTAAAGGACTCAGCACTTCCTGTGAGCAAAGCTATGCCTCAGGACTCTATGTCATTAGATCTGGGGAGAGTCAAAGTGATCAGCTGAATGTTTAGGTCCAAAACATTGGAAGAACTCAGCCTGACTGTCCTGAGGGACTTCAAATAGCTCAAGCAGCAGCAAAAAAAAAAAAAAAAAAAAAAAAAAAAAGTCGATAGATGTAATTCAATTAAGCAACTCTATGTGAACATTTATTATGTGCCTGCCATTTATCAAGGAACACGGGGTACACCAGTGACCAGAACATAGAGCCCTTCTCTCATGCTGCTTACATTCTAGGGAAGGAGACAGACAATAATGAACGTCACAGTCATGAACAGTGTGCTCTAAGTTGATAGCGCTGTGGGAGAGAAGAAATGGTGAGCACGGGTAGGAGTATCGGCAGGGCTCAGACGTAGGCTGCAAAATTAAGCAGGTGGTCAATTTGGAGTCATTAAGATGGTGAGATCGGAGCAAAGACAAGAAGGAGGTGATGAAGTTAGCCTACAGGCTTCTGCAGGAGGAGCATTCCAGAAAAAAGAGAAGAGTTCCTTCAAAGAGCCAGGCCAGGAATTGTGGTCTGTGTGTGCTGGAATGGAGGGGAAGCCTACGGGGCTACCATGGAATGAGTGATGTGGAGAGAGGAGGGAGACTCAGAGAGGTGAGGGAGCAAGGGAGGTCCTGCCACGTCTTTGAGACCATTATGAAGATACTGTTAAGGTACAATGTTGCAAACACTAAGTCTGAATGCCTAGGGGACTTGAATAGCTCAGACAGAAAAATAGAGACAAAAAATCCTGCAGTCTGTCCCTGCCTTCAAGAAGTCGAGTAGGAGAGATAGATAAGTAAAAATATAATAGTAACAATCCATGAGATAAGCAGATAATGCAGTCAATAAAGTCTATGATGTAGGGATACAGAGCAAGGTCCATGACCCTGTTTGGAAGAGGCAGGGAGGATTTCTTAGAGGAGAAGATTGGTTGAAGAAGGGGAAACATTGGAAGTCCAGGTTAAAATCAAGGCTAAGTTTGTCAGGCCTCACTTTACAGATGTGCCCATGGGGACACTGAGACTTAGGTGGCTTGCCCGGAGGTGGCCAGCTAAAGTTGGCCTTCAGTCCAGGCTACTTTGTACCAAGGTAGCTGCCTCGCCCATGCATGGAGCCAGTGGGAGTTCTGTCTGAACTGATTCTTTTCCAGCTTCCTGCTGAGGTCCCAGGATGCAGAGCTTTTGCTTGGCTTGTTGTTGGTGACGTTACCAGCGGCATTCCATAACGGTGTCTCTCTCTTCTCCTT